ATGAGGATGAGGAGGAGCGGGAAGAGGGGGGACGAAGAGTTGCCAGATAATGAGGGAGGGGGAGCAGCAGGAGTGATATGAGGATGATGGGGATGATGCAGCAGGAGAAAGAGGATCGACTCCTGAACCTCATTGTCCTCCAAATGTTCCTCGCTTACCTCGTATCACTTCTCCTTACCCTACCCGTACTCCGGCACATCCCCCCTTATCCCCCGTCAGTTGAGGGGACGGCGGGGAATGTTGATGAGAAGAAGTAGTGATGGGAGGAGTATAAGGAATGATTGTAACAGGATGATGACGAGAAAGAAGAGGACTACCTACTCATCCACATCACTCCCCGTTCCCTCTTCCGCCTCGTCCCCTTTATCCCCTGCATTGTTCTAGCCCTTCTCACCCTCCCCCTGTATATGTTCACGCATTCTTTCCTCATCGCTTTCCTCCTGTGCTCCATCATGCCAGACGCGCGGCAGAAAAGATGCAGGAGGATGAGGAGGGGAGAACGAGGTGGAGAAGGGATAGGAGGAGGAGGAGGAGGAAGAGGAGGAAGGGGAGGAGCAGACGAATGGTATCAATGATGAGCTCCCCTTCACCATTCTCCTCCTGATCCTCTGACGACACCTCTTTTCCTCGCTGGCCTCCTCATGATATCACTCCCCCGTCTTCTTCTCATCCTCTTCGCATCGCCCCCTTATGGAATGAGGATAGGGGTCGTATGAGGAGCAGGGGGAAATGAATCAGACGAGGGTGGGCAGAGGAGGCGGATGAGGGGTAGCAGGACGCGTATGAGGATGAGGGTGTCAGTGAGGAGAAGGAGGAGGGGGATGATGAGGGGACTACAAGCAATGAAGGAGGATAGGGCAAATGATGGGAATGAGGACTACAATGAAAACGATCATGATGATGAGAAGAAGCTCTTACTCCTCATCATCGTCACCACCCTTATCCCATCACTCCCATTCGTTCTCATACCACTCATCCACCTTCTCTTATGTGTGATCCCACGATCTCCTGTATGGAAGGAGGAGGGGGAAGTGATACGAGGAGGAAAATGAGGAATATGAGGGAGACGAGGAGGAGTTGGAGGATGATGAGGAGGTTCGGGAGCCATTCCTCCTCCGTCAGCTGCTCCTATCAGTCCGCCTCCTCCTGATCCCCACCCTGTCTCTCTCAAAGCTAGATAGGAAGGAGGAGGAGAGAAGGGTTGATGAGGAGTGGCCCCTCAAGCACCTCGTCACCATCGTCCGCCTCATTGTTATCCTGCTCTGGCAGCTCCTCTTCCTCTCTCTCCCCCTTTCGTCATGCTCATCCTTCCGTCTGAGGGGGAGGAGGAGGAGGAGCAGGAGTGATGAAAGGAGAAGGAGGAGGAAGAGGACAAGCGGGATTGATGGAAGCAAGGGGAGGGGTAGGATGAGGATGAGGATTGGCAGGGGATAAAAATGAAAAGCCAGATGATGAGGATGAAGAAGAGGAGCAGGAAGAGGAGGAGGAGGAGGAGGAGGGCGAGGAGGAAGAGGAGGAGGAGGATGGGAGCAGCGGTCATGGAAGAGGAAGAGGCGGAAGAGGAAGGAGGCGAGGAGGAAGAGGAGGAGGGCGAGGAGGAAGAGGAAGGAAAAACATCGGCTCCGTCGTGCGGCCGAATGGGCGCTGCTACCACCTGCACGATGACAAACGACAATCTGACGGATGCCGACTACAAGCTTTATTATTATCGTCCTCCTCGTCCTCAACTGCCCGCCCCCTCGGCTCCTTCTCGTCCTGCATCCTACATGCTAGCACCTACTATTTGTATCCCTCCTCCCTGCCGATCCCTCCTGCTCCTTCTCCTCCTCCCTCCTGCTCCTGCTCCTGGTCCTCCTCTATTCCTTCCTTCCTTCCTTCCTTGAGTCCTTCCTTCATGCCTTCCTCTCTTCCTCCTTTTCATCCTCCACCACCTCCTCCCTCCTGCTGCTGCTGCTCCTCCTCCCCCTCCTCGTTCTGACCCCCCCGCTCGGAGCCTGGGACAGGCTCCTCTTGATGAAGAGGTCGAGCCTCTCGAACTCCCCCTGCAGAAGAGCGAGGGGCAGCAGGCTTGAGTGGGGGCAAGCCCCGACCTCTGGCGAATCGGACAGATCGCTCCTCCTCCTCCTCCTCCTCCTCCTCCTCCTCCTCCTCCTCCTCCTCCTCTGCGAGGGCAGGCCTGCTCCTCCTCCGCGACACGGGCTGACAAGCCGCACCCTGGGGACGGGGCCGCGAGGCCCGGCGGTCCACGCTGCGAGCACCTCGAGGCGTCGGAGGCCTGGGGGCCAACGCCGGGAGCGGAGCGCACGGGAGGAGGCGGAGGACAAGGACGCGGAGGAGGAGGAGGAGGAGGAGGAGGTGGAGGAGGAGCAGGAGGAGGAGGAGGAGGAGGAGGAGGAGAAAAAGAAGGAGGAGGAGGAGGAGGAGGAGGAGGAGAGGAGGCGGGGGGATTCCGACGATGGGCAGGGCGGGGAGGGAGGCGCGGGCGGCGGCGTAGATTGGAGGATGACCCATCGAGGCAGCGGCAGCTTCTCCCGTCGAGCCCGGCGGGCTGGCTGCGAGAAGCCGTTGGGCCCAGGGGCCGCCGTCACCTCGCCTGGCCCTCCTCCGGGACGACGGTGGCGATGATGACGACGACAGTGGTGACTATGCTGATGAAGATGCTGCTGCTGATGATGCTGCTGATGGTGACTAAGACGATGATGCGGATGGTGAAGATGCTGATGAGGAGGCTGCTGATGATGATGACAACGAGGATGATTATGCTGATGATGATGTTGCTGATGATGCGGATAAAAATGATGAAGATGATGCTGCTGATGATGCGGTTGATGATGACGATGCAAATGATGAGTATGATGATGGCGACGGTGATGACGATGATGATGCTTATGCTGATGATTGTGATGGTGATGATGGTGGTGGTGGTAATGCTGATGGTATTCTTATGATGATGAAAGTGATGATGGTGATGATGAGGATGATAATGGTGGTGGACGACAACTTACAAGCAATGTCAAAACACAGATTCAAACATAGTCTGGAGAGCACGAAACATCGTCCCCAGCCATTTGTTTTAACAGTGTTGAATCTTCCTCCTGTGGAGGGGCATGGCCGACTTAAGATTTGTATGACCCTTGGGACGCCAGGAGACAGCGCCAGGGCCACCGAAATCAGTCCGCCCTTGGGCCGCCTTGGGGCCCGCGTGGGGGTCTCGTGGGCCGTCTCGGGGCGGTCTTGGGGGCCTCTTGGCCGTCTTAGACGGTATGGAAACGAAAGCAGCGAATGTGCCAAAAATGCACGTTTGCCCTTAGCCATGCGAAGATGCCCCGGCCCCGGACCTAGCTGCCCTGTCCCCAGCCCCAGTCGCGTAACTGCGCAAATCTGATCGGGCCCCGTCTTTCTCTTCTCGCTCGCGTTGCTCTTTCGCTTTCGTGCGCTCGGTCGCCCCTGGCGCAGGCGACCGCTCGCTTTGACCAGCGTCTGACCGTCTCTCACAGCCTGGCGCCTGCGGACTTGAAAAGAAAAGTAACAGCGCAAAGTTGTTCAGGATCTTCAGCCGTATGGGTATAAGACAAAGCCAGGGCGAGGATAAAATCAGGTAAGGACAAATCGAGAATCTCTGAGATCCAGCGGCCCTGCAGGATGTCTCGGGCGCTGCGGCCTTCTCAGAGCGTTCCGGAACGCTCTGGGAGCGTTCCGGAATGCTCTGGGACGGATTTAGTCCTAGCCTGAAGTCGGGAAAGTCCCCCTACAGGCAGACTTTGGAGGACGAATAAAAAATCGGAACCTGTTTAAACTTTACACGAATAATTGAACAATAGTGCCCATCCTTTTTTTTATTATTATTTTTGGGTAATTATCCTGTAGAGGGACAGGCCCGACTTATTCCTAGCCCCGTCCGAGGGTACTATCCTTTTCCTTCACAGCGCGAGCACGCAGGTGCAGCTCCTCCGAAATGCTGCTGCACCTTAGGTCGGGCGTGTCGTCCTACAGGCGGATATTGGACGACAAATAACAAGTAGTCAAAAACTGATCAAACAAGTAGTCAAACATACTACAGCAAAGGTCCCCAGCCTGTTTCTTTACTATTTGTTTCCCTTCACGGCGCGGGCACGCCGGTGCAGCTCCTTCGAAGCCCAGACCCCCGACGTCATGATTTTTTCATGACGTCGGGCCCCAGAGGTCTGGACCCCTTCCCCGGGACCAGTTTTTTGTCCTGAGTCTGACGGTCCCGAGGCCTGGTAAGGGCCTCCCGAGGCCGAAGATGATCGGGCCGAGCGAAGGGGGGGGGTACCAAATCTGCTGCATGCAGCTGGTTTCGGCCCCGCCGCTGGGCCCATTCCTCGATGCATGCACGCCTCCCGGCGCTGGGAGGCGCCGGGAGAATCGTCTGCGTGAGCTGATTCTCTACCCTACTACCTACCCTACTACCCTCCGCTATCCCCCCTTCTCCTTCCCCGTGGCATGGAAACAAGCCTCCCGACATGACGTTTTATGACCCGAGGGCCGCTGCACGAGGCGCGGCGACGCCCGGCGCGAAGGGCCCCCCGCGCGGCTGGCACCCGCGGTAGGCCCTGCGGACACGTCGGGCAGCACGGGGGCTGCGGCCGTCCTGCGCAGAGGGCGGGCGCCCCACGCGGCCACGCGGCACGAGGCTCGGGTCGGGCGTGTCCGCCTGCAGGCGGATCCTGGGCGAAACAGGAAGACACGACAACTATGCAAAGAAACATCGGAAATGGTGGAAGGATCGTGCCCAGCTTTTTTGATCAAATATTCGAATCGCCCCCCACTAGAGGGGCGGAGACGGGCGTCCTCCTACAGGCGGATTTTGGGCAAAAAATTAAAATAACCAGAACAGACGCACCGGTCTTCAATCAATCGAAGAAGCGTTTCCAGTATTTATACTATTTTAAAATAGCTCTCCAGTAGAGGGACGGGGACGGGCGTGTCCTCCTACAGGCAGATGTTGGCCGAAACTTTTGACATAACCCAACAATGTGCAACAATAGTCAAACATAGTCGAAGAATCGTTTCCAGAATCTGTTTTAAAACTAATTTTGAATATTCCTCCAGTAGATGATGGCGGCGCGCATGAGGGGATGGAGGGAGAGGGGAGGGCTTCTTAGAAGGAGGCTGCTTCCTAGAAGGCACCAGCCGTACATCTATAAGGCCCGCGCCTTCTAAGAAGAAGGGGAGCTTCTAAGAAGCCCTCCCCCCTCTCGCCACCCCCCTCTGCGCGTGGCTGACGAGGGACATGCCCGACTTCAGACGAGGCAAGGGAGCGCCTCCATCTTTGGACTGCGCACGAGCTTCCCTCCGCTGCCAGGCATCAGGTGCGCCCATGAGGGGGAGGACCGGAAGAGGGGGGCTCGCGCTGGGGGGTCGGGAACGGATCCCTGCTCGAGCTAATTGGCTGTCCTCTGAATTTCGACCTTTGCTTGCGGCTTCCGGGCCGCGCATCAGAGAGGCGCGGGCCCGTCGTGGTCTCTGGAAACGGCAGCGCCGTTGGTTCACCGTCTCCGGAAAAAAAATTCTCTTGCAAACGGAGGCGGTGAACAAAAAACGGCAACCAGAAACAGCAACAAAACGGCTCTGGAACTGGAGCCGGTACCAGACCCGGCGAAGAAAAACGGCGACGGAACTGGCAACAGAACAACGGCGACGGGACCAGCACTCAAAAACGGCAACGCGGACCGGTATCACAAAACTGCCCCGTCGTGGCCCGGGCCCACTGAGGGCGGGCCCGGGGAATTCAAAAGGCAACTTTTTTTTGTGCCCGGACAGAACACCTGGGCGAAATTCAAAATTCAAATTCAAATTCAAAATTCAAAAGGCAACTCCCGAGAGGTCTCCGCGGGGGGGTGATGGCCTCCCGGGCAGAGCCAGGGGGGGCCGCAGGCGATCGCCCAGGACCGAACCGAGGAGCCGGGTCGGCGGTCGAAGGGAAGCGGATCGGCCGACATCGGCAGCCGAGTCGCGAGGAGTCGAGTCGGCGGAACCTGGCAGGCCAACTCGTAGGCCTCCATTGGGAATCGTCGGAAGCCAAATCGGGATCCGAAGTGGGATCGAATCGGACTCGCAAGACATCGACACTGAATCAAGTCGAACCGGGGGAATCGAAACGAGCTCTGGGGGGGGTCACCACTGAGGAGGTCGCCACTTCCTCGAGGCAGCGCCACGTCCTCAGGTGGGCAGGCCCCGAAGAGCACCCCCGGAGCCTCTCAGAACGAACCCAGACGTCCAACAGCGCCTCGGACTTGTGCCCAGGAGCGCTGGCTGGTGCGACCCCCCTCGTGTTGACCGTCCCTCGGCACCGAACCCGAGCTTCAGGGCTGCTGAGCCCGATGAGCAGAGGGGCCGTCGGGCCAGACGGGAGGGGAGGGGAGGGAAGGGGAGGAGAGGGGAGGGGAGGGAGAGGGAGGGGAAGGGTGGGGGGAGGGAGGGGAAGGGAGGGGGAGGGAGGGAGGGAGGGAGGGGGGGAGGGAGGGAGGGAGGGAGGAAGGGAGGGAGGGAGGGAGGGAGGAAGGAGAAAAACGGAAGCGGCGCCCGAGGTGTCCACGCGCGCACACGGCCAGTCCCAGACACACTGGCAGGCGTTTCTTGCTTCCCCCCGCGGCGCCACACACGATGGGAGGTCCCCGTGAAAACGAGTACTACAGGGCACTTTTTCGTGCGAACGGGGGGCCCCGACCTCGTCCTCCTCCTCCTCCTCCTCCTCCTCCTCCTCCTCCTCCTCCTCCTCCTCCTCACCACTACTCCTTCGAGGCGATCCGCACCAGCGTCGGGCGAACCAGGGGCCCCGATCGGGAAACTGTCTGGCGTGCAGGGGAACGAGAGCCCAGAAACCCTCGGTCATGAAAAGAACACGACGGGACATTTGCCCCCAGTTTCGGCTTCGGGGGGCCCTTCCCAGCCCTCGGGACCGTCAACAAAACGAGTCGGGATGAAAAACCGGTGCCAGGGGAAGGGTCGAGACCTCCGGGGGTCGACCTCACGAAACAGCCATGACGTCGGGGGCCCGGGAGGGAGGAGAGAGCGGCCGCTCGAGGGGAGGAGGGGGGCAGGCGTCAGCACTTCAGGGCGCACCGTGGCAGCGACGGGGGGGCCCCTTAGGGCCTGGAGGCGAGGAGGAGGAGGAGGAGGAGGACGGGGAGGAGGAGGAGGAGGAGGACGAGGAGGCGAGGAGGAGAAGGAGGGGGAGGAGGACGACCCGCGGCAATCTCCTGGTCAAGCCGGGAGCAGCCCCAGAGCGTGCGGCCGCCAGGGTCGGCTTGGGCTGCTCGCCCACGCTGCCGCCCCCCGTGGCGGGAGCTCGTGGCGCGGGACCACTTCCACGTCCGCGGGTCCCTCGTTCCATCCGGCGCCACCAAGACGCGGGAGGTCGTCGTGCGAACTAAATTACACTCCAGGGCCGGCCAAAACCCGATCACGAGTGTCACCAGGCGGGGCAAGACCACGACGGGCCTCTAATTCCACGGGGCGCGGCCAGGTGGAGCGGCACCGCGCCAGAGTCGGACCATGTACGACCACGGCTATACCCGAGTTCGACCTTCCACTGCAGGAGATGCGAGCCGAGCAGGAGGAAAAAGGATCCTGGGAGAGGTTTCCCAGCATATCGCCATCTTGACCCCCTGCGGCCCTCCGCGGGCGTCGGGGTACCGTCAGAACCCTGACCAGAAGGACAGAACAAGTCCTGGAGAGCCCTGGGGTCTCGGGCCCGTTTCGCTCAGGCCCCCTTTGCTACAAGAGCGGAGCCCATGCACCGTACCATGTCTGGACTCTTTTCAGGCCCCGCTCCAAAGCGGTACGGTACACAGTTTGTTTGTCTCGGGGGGTCGAAACAACCATGCACCGCAACGTTCCTGAGTCGAGAATCGACGACGCCACGAGAGGCGCGAACGCAGTAATGTGCACACAGAAAGTCCGCGGTTCTTCCCATCATGGCGACCTAAGTAAACACAGCAGAGATGGCCGACACTGGAAACCGTGGATCAAACAAGACATGGCGCGCCTCAGGAGGGCACCGTTTGCTCCCACCGTCTTCCGCAGACCGTCCGCCAACCTTCCGCTGGCAAGAGATCCTCGTTTTCGAGGTTACCTATCCTCTCAAACCGCGTTGGCTCTGTTTAAAAACACGTCGGGGAGGAACTCAGGACGTCGTAGAAGGTAATGTAAAGCAATGCAACCACCGAATCTGAAGACGTTTTAAACTTGGTCAAGAACGCAAGCCATGCATCGTTTGTTTAGTGTTTTAGTGCTCTTGCCAGGACTTAAACACTAAAATGATTATTTCCAACGCGCCGAATGTAAGAACCGAACACATCCCGCCCCAGGATGCGCGTCGCGCGATCATCTGTACGCCCTGCACACACTGGCGCGCCCCCCTGGGAGAAGGGCAGCTGGTCCGACCCAGACCGCGACGCTGGAAGAAGCGCGATTACCTCCCGACGGAGGACATGGGGCTCAATTCCGCCAGCTTCTGCTGTTTGCAACAGTGCGTCCCACGTGGGAGGCTCCACCTGCTTGCAACAGGCGCCCAAAACAGCCAAGATCCACTCCATAGGGGGAGGGAGGGGGGCGAGGGCCCGCGCCAAGACGTGCTGCAACGGATTTTGGCGCGGCATCCTGTCAATGCAACTCCCCGAAACGGCGAGCGAAAAACGAAGCGATTGTCGCGGGCGTTTCTTGGGGTGGGGGTTATCTTCACTGCTGACCCAAGAAGCCGAACGAGATTCGCTTCGAACTCTGGAACGACCTCCTCCAGGACTACCCGGGCCCATCGGGAGGGAATGCCCTCCTTCTCGCTCGATCGAGCCCCCCGAGGGTGCAGCGGCTCATGCAGAGGAGGAGGCGGAGGAGGTTAAAGACCCCGGCCGGCAGAATTCCGAACGACGCCCGCTCTGCGATTCTGTTGGCGCCGTGACACCCCCTGGCGCTCACCCCCGCCCAGCTCCAGCGGGCCCACCGCTGGCGGAACGCCGCCCTCGCTTCCATTTTCCTGCTGGCCTCCGCCGCGCCTTCCGCCGCGCCTCCCGCCGGGGACGAGGCTGCCAGCTCCCTCCATTCTCGAAGGCGCGGCCCTGCACACCTCCACTACCAGAAGAAGGAAAAGCAGCATGAACATAAACAGCATAAAGCATACAACAGCATAAAACAGCATAAACACAAAACATAAAACAGCATAAACAAAAACAGTATTACCAGGAGAAGAAACAACAGCATTAGCATAAAACTTCTGGCGCTCCGCGCGGATCTCTTGGATCCCCGCTGGGGCCCCCCTCCCCGGCGCGCGGAGCGCGCCGGGGGCGGCGGCGGCGCCGCCGCCTGGGGAGGGGCCCAGGCGCGGATCCAAGAAACCCGCGCGGAGCGCCAAAAGTTCATGCTTATGGCGTTTTGTCTTCTTCGAAGGGCCCTTCATGCTGATGTGCTCCCATCGTACTTCAGGACGACATACCAGACATGATTCCCATCACCCAGAAAGGCGTTGGAACCGTGTCGAACGAGTATGGCCTCCCAGGGCCCGAAGCGTGAAAACCCTCCAATTTCGGTACTTTTGTGGTGCCCGAAACTCTTCCGGGTGATCAAGGCTACAATCGGTTGGACCATATCAAACCTCCATGGCTTCCGCCAGCTTCCCCGAGCCGCCCGGAGAAGGTCAGGCTGTGAACGCCCCGCCTCCTCGAGGGTGGGGAGCCCCTTCTGTGGTTGGGAGCCACTGGCGCGGCTCCGGCGCCCGGAGAAAAGTCACGGTCGGTGCCCAGGGCCAGCTCTAGGTTGGGCATGTGCCCCTACAGTGGTATTTTTGGCGAAAAAATGAAAACATTGTCAACACATCCACTAAAATAGCCAACACATGCTCAACAAAATCGTCCCCAGACTATTGCTTGACTATTTATGAATATTCCTCCTGGACGTGCCCGACTTAAGGCCAGCTCTTCACCAGCAGGGCACGATGCCCTTCGCGTGCGGGCGCCGTGGAGGCTGATCCGCACGAAACCATGCACAAGAAACCCAACTTTGAACCCCCAGGACATCCATGTTTTTCCCAACCATCCTGTGGTGTTGGGTCCTCGTTTTGAAGAGACAGCGCCCCGCGTCCACTCCTCCCGCTGCCCCCTCCCCCCTTCCCCTCATCCCTGCGTTTCACCCACCCAGCACAGCGTTTCGCAGCCCCATAAGGAGCTCCACCGAAGGCCCCACTGGCAGGGTTCGCATGGCGGCCTCGGGCCATTTCGGCACACCCCTCACGAGGATCGTGGCCCCATAGGGAGCTCCGCCGAAGGCTCCAGTGGCAGGGTTCGCATGGCGGCCTCGGGCCATTTCGGCACACCCCTCACGAGGATCGTGGCCCCATAGGGAGCTCCACCGAAGGCCCCACTGGCAAGGTTCGCATGGCGGCCTCGGGCCATTTCGGCACACCCCTCACGAGGATCGTGGCCCCAAAAGGGAGCTCCACCGAAGGCGCCATTGGCAGGGTCCGCATGGCAGCCTCGGGCCATTTCGGCACACCCCTCACGAGGATCGTGGCCACATAGGGAGCTCCACCGAAGGCCCCAGAGGCAGGGTTCGCATGGCGGCCTCGAGCCATTTCGGCACACCCCTCTCGAGGATCGTGGCCCCATAAGGAGCTCCGCCGAAGGCTCCAGTGGCAGGGTTCGCATGGCGGCCTCGGGCCATTTCGGCACACCCCTCACGAGAATCGTGGCCCCATAGGGAGCTCCACCGAAGGCTCCAGTGGCAGGGTTCGCATGGCGGCCTCGGGCTATTTCGGCGCACCCCTCACGAGGATCGTGGCCCCATAGGGAGCTCCACCGAAGGCCCCAGCGGCAGGGTTCGCATGGCGGCCTCAGGCCATTTTGGTACACCCCTCACGAGGATCGTGGCCCCACTGGAGTTCCACCGAAGGCGCCAGTGGCAGGGTTCGCATGGCGGCCCCGGGCCATTGCGGCACATCCCTCACGAGGATCGTGGCTCCATAGTTGTGCTGGTTCAACAACCGCGCCTGGGCGTCGTACTCCGCCTTGTCGACGTGCAACGCCACCTCCTCCCTCATTGCTCTCAAGGCCCCTCTCCTGCTTCTGCTCCTCGGTGAGAGGGACGCCGTCCTTGTCGTCGTCGGCGCCCGCGAAGACGGCCACGAACGTGTCCCTGAGCATGTCGGGCTCCGGCGGGGAGCCGTGGCCACATAGGGAGCGCGGGCGAAGATGGTATTCACAATTGCGGCATTCACAACTGCATATGGTTGGGTCCTTCGCCAGGATAATTTTAGTGTGGGAGCATCACGCTCTCCACAGCAAGAGCATCGAAACACAAGAAACCCGGGGCACCTTGGCGGCAAGCAAGGTGTTTTTTTTGGCATGGGTCCCCACTGTACTCAACCAGCCTGGAACTTGTCCTTAGCCCTGAGGACGGACAAGCCAAAAGGCGACGCCCATCGCAGGGATGCGTCCACAGACGCCGAGGTAATCCTTAGGATCGGCATCGAGATGAGGGGATGCCCACCATAGGGATAAGGATATGCTCTCAGGCTGGTAAGCAATGGCTCCGGGACTGTGAGAGATCAGGGGCTCTCCCTGGGCCAGAGCGGCCTTCGAGAACTTCCACTCGTACGTCGCGTTCCAGAGCGACTGTCTGACCTCTGTCTCGCGCTGCTTGAACAGGTTGCTTTGGAGCGTCCCCTGGTGCTGGCGGGGGGGCGGGGGGAGAGGGGAGGGGATGAGGAGGGCGGGGCCTGGGGTAGTTTGGCGTGTGATGGAACAGCCGTCTACAAAGCGTTTTGGTAATGAAGATTCTGACATCAATCATTCGCCGCATCCGAAGGACAGTCGCACCCGAGTTCCAAGCAAGACTCACCACTGTTCCCACTGACACGCTGAAGCGTGGTCGAATGCCACGTGCTGTCACGTAGGACTTGAACAAGACTTCGCTTGGTGACTGGCCAAGGTGACCAAACAATCGGCACTGGGACACTACCGAATGAATCACCCAAATCACTGGCCCCCTGCCGACTAGACGTCAGCCCATCCGTGTGTCTCACAGAATCGGTGCGTCGAGGTTGCCTGAAATGCCAGCCAAGCTTTCCTCTTCCTCGACCTCGTCCTCGTCGTCGTCCTCCTTCTCCTCCTTCTCCTCCTCCTCCTCCTCCTCCTCCTTCTCCTCCTCCCCCTCCTCCTCCTCCCTCCTCCTCCTCCTCCTCTCCTCCTCCTCTCCTCCTCCTCCTCCTCCCTCCTCCTCCTCCTCCTCCCCCCCCCCTCCCCTCCCCCCCTCCCCCCTCCCCCTCCCCCTCCCCTCCCCCCCCCTCCCTCATCCTCCTCCTCCTCCTCCTCCGACTCCTCCTCCGACTCCTCCTCCTCCTCCTCCTCCACCTGCACTTCTTAGCTGTCCGGCAGGGCTTCTGTGAGTCTTGGAGACCCCCCCCCTGCCGTGAGTACCTGCTGCATGCATCTCTCACCACCTCTGGAGGGGCCTCCTGGCCTGGCCATGACACGTCCTCGGTGATCCCCAGGGCCATACGACGACGACGACCACGACGACGACGACCACGACGACGACGACGACGACGACGACGACGACGAATTTCGAGCCTTCGGTCCCAAAACTGCTCGATGTGGCCTGAAGCGGCACCCAACCCAGAAGCCCCCAAAATGGCCCAACGGACGCCCAAGGGGCCCCTCTCAGACGCTTGCACGACGCCGCGGAGACCGCAAAGAGGACCACAAGGGGGCCAAGGTCATGCAAACACGTTGAGACAAACTAGGTTGTTGAAGTTGTTTGGTTTCTCGGAGCTCTCGGGCCGCTATGGTTCCGCGGGCCTTGAAGGAGCCAAAGAAAGCTCAAACTAGCCTCAAGAGACTCCCAGGAAGCCACTCACACCTCCAGACCGCCCCGAGCCCTACGCGTGGGCACTGGGTACCGTATCCTGGTACTCAGTCTTCACGTACAGGGCATACTATCAGGGCTGCTCGCTGCAGCAGGCAAGGAGAGAAGCAACCGGGTCCAATTTTCGGAACCAGCGGCAAGCAGTTTGCTTGTCCGCATGTGGCGCCTTAGCTGCGCCCGTGGCCTGGAGGTGGGTACCAGGCACGGGGATTGCGCATTTGGTCGGGAGGTGGGGTCGTGTGGCCCGTGAACCCCATGGGACCTTGTGTCCACCCGCCCTGAGCTTGTCGTATTCGTACAGTCCGGTTGCGCATGCCGCTCGATTCGGCAGGGTTGGTCGTGGTTTTCCTGGCCGAGGAACCTGAAATAACGGTGAAGGCTTCAGGGGACCATGCCACCCTACGCACCGAGCCGTCTCGTGCGGGCAGCGAGTCACGGCCGACGTGGTCTTCTCACCGTTCCTTGGTCTGCTTGTTGGGAAGACATCGTCTTTTTACAGTCTACAGTCTACAGCCTCCAGACCGCCCCGAGAAGGCGCCCAATGACGGCCCAAGAGAGCCCCAAGACGGTCCAGGAAGGTCACAGTGGCCCACGAGGCTCCAGAGATAGCCACCTGACCTGACACTCCTCAGACGACAATGGGGAACCCAAGACGGCCCCGAGACGGTACAAGAGGGCCCAAGGAAATGCTAAGAACGTCCTAAGATGGCCCCACGACGACCCCCAAAGAGCCCAAGACATCCGTTAAGCAGGCCATGGAGTGCCTCCCATGGAAGAGAAACGAAATGTGTCACATGCTACTGCGTTCTGGGCATTTGCTCCACCTTGAGGTAAAAGCAATTAAAACGATTAAAACGTGACCTGGATACTAACACAGGAGGAGACGAGGACGACAACGACGAGAAAGACACACCAACACGAAGAGGAAGATCATGCCGCATGTTGCAGCTCTCCCAGTGCGGGCAACGAGAGGTGCCACACGTGACGGCCTTCTGCGTTGCGCTCGAAGGGTCGCAGCCCAGAGTGCTGCTTTGGCATGGTCCAGACTTGCCGCATTCCGCTGAACAGTTATATGCGTGTAGGCGGGCACTATGGGCGCCTCTGAACAGGCAGTCGCACTATTTCAGTGTGGTGCTGGCGCCAATTCGCACAGCAATCAAGCCCAGGTCTTGATCAACCATGGTGTTTGCGCACAGCGCCTACCTTCAAACGCCGCCTTGCTGGAATCGGACAACGGGGCGGTACTGGCGTCCCTGGAGAGGCCAGAGCAACAACAGCGCGGTACTACCGCTAGCTCGCGAGACCAATCGGCTCCAGGCCATCGCAAACTCACGAGTGAAACTCCGGGCCTCTCCCAGAGTGCGTTCTGACCAGAATTTCGAATAGAATCCAGCTGTGGCGTCGAGGACCTCCTCGGCGAAAACGAGGCGGGGCTTTTCCCTCCCAGTGACTACCGCGACCTCGCGAGACCAGTGAGCTCAGGCCATCGCAAGCCCACGTGCTGCGTCGCGGCCGCTCTGCGCAGCCACCGGGTCCAAGTCGGGACTGCCACGGCGCTGGCGCATAACGCCAGGAAAACAGCGCGGCCCACCCCGGAGGCGTGACACAGCCGGCGCTCCTGAAAGGTGTCGGATCCACAGAGGGAGGAGGAGGAGGAGAAGGGGGAGGATGACCAGTGGAAATCCAAGAATCATCAACGATGTTGGAAAAAAAACCTCCCCCAAAAACTGCTCTCCAGAGGACCCTACACCGGTTCATTTCCACTGACGGAACTGCCTCGTTGGAAGACAACCGTTTGCAGACCCTGAACCATTCCAAAACAATGTTTTCGGGATCCCAACGCCACGAATCAATCAGAGTGTTGCGTATTGGCGATCTTGAACCGTGCCAGAACATTATTCTCGAGACTTCAACACGGCGAACCAACGTAACGGCTGCACCCCCATAGCCCTGAGTCCTTCCAAAACAATTTTTGTGTACGCTGATCATGGGAACCCGCGAAAGTCGCGCAAATGATTCGAACGAATGTGCGCGGCGCCACGGCGACAACCCTATGTTGAAAAAAACCCGCCGTCAATCCGTGAAACTGTTGCAAATTCGGAAAACAAATGAGCGCGGCGTTTAGGCGAGAACCACATGTTGAAAACGGCCCTCCTTCAATCCGCGAAACTGTTGTAAGCTTTAGAATGAATGTGCGTGGCGCTTAGGCGGCAGCCACAGTTTGAAAACAACGCCCTCAATCCATCAAACTTTTGCAAATGTTAAAAACGGATGTGCGCGGCGCTGAAAGCGAAAGCCCCATTTCGAAAACCACCCGCCTTCTATCCGCGAAGCTGTTGCCATTTTTAAAGAAAATGCAGGGCCATTCGCGTCAGGAAGTCTCATACAAAACGCCCAAACCGCCCTAGAAACGTGCCTCGGGGTGCGACAGGGGGAAAGTTTGCAGAAGGAAAGTACATGCAGGAGGAGGGTCAATGTAAGCCCACGACTCATCGACGATGTCTGTTCCCCGTCTCAACTTTTGCAACTGAGGGGAGTGCCCCGTTTTGAAAACTACAGAATGGACATCTCAAGCTGTGCCAGAACAAGGTTCCTCATATTGCACGCCGCGAATCAACGGTAATCCAAAGGCCCTGAGAACGAAATTTAGGAACTGAGCGAAAACAATCCCCAGGGACTGTTTTAAAGAACGCGGCGTTCTTTAAAACAGTCCCCTGGGGCTGTCTTAAAGAACGCGAGTGTTGATATTATAGCGACCATGGCGATTTTGTCCGCTGCGATGCCACAACTGCGGCTTCATCGAGGCGGCGCCCAGTAGCTGTGCGCGCAGCCCAACGGAACAGGAGGCTGAGCCAACGCCGCGGCCGACGGAGCCGACCAACTGGCCGACGCCGCGTCCGACGGACCTGATGGAGCCCATATTCTGTCGTCGGCCGCCTGCTCACGGTCGCCAGGCCGCGACTGCGGCGTCTTCGTCTCAGCTGCGGGCGGCGCATCAGCCGCGACTGCGGCGCCCTGATCTCGCGACCACCTGGAGCCCAACCCCGCATCCCAGGAATCCCACGAACCCCAGCGCCATTTCGGATTCCATGACCCCAGTCCTGCCAACTGCTGCTTGGCCAGCTGCCGCGGTGCTCCTCGTGAGCCGCTACTGCGGCATCAGGGCCACGAGCTGGAGCTTGGAGAGGTGGTCGCTCATGGTCGCCCTTGCCCTTGTCGCCGTGGTGGCCCCAGCCGTGGCCGCCCTTGCCGTTGCCTTGGTTGCCCTTGGGCTGGTCGCCCTTGGGCTGGTTGCCGCGCTGGCCCCCCTTCTGATGGCCGCCCTCCGCTTTGTCGCCTTTGCCGTCGCCCTTCTTCCTCTCTTGCCTGTGGTGCCGCTTCATGCGCCTCTCCGCCTCTTTCTCTGGCGACCTGCGGGGCTGGTTGCGCGCGTGCACCAGCGCGTGCCTTTCGTTGGGAACCCTTCCAGATGTCGACGTCCAGTTCTTTCTGTCGAGTTCTGAACTGGCGGGGGACCCGCTATTCTACTCTTGAGCCCAGCCCCTGCAACTCCAGCATGTATTTGATCTGCCCTATCCTTCTACCGAGCTCCGCGACTGCGGTGGGGAATTCTGCAGATGACGTCAGCAAAGGGCGCAACTTGCCCCCCTGGCAAAGTTCTTGGGCAGGCATGTCTCCAACGGCTTCCCAGGCCCATTCTGGTAATCGGACGTCAGGAATGTCGGACTTTTGTTGCGCGAGGAGCCCGCCGCTGCCTTCGCGCGAGACGCCCGGGCCTTCGGCGACGCGGCGTCTCCGA